TTATGTCCTCAGGGCAGTGGTGGTGAACTACAGCAGAGGCTGCCTTGGGCTCTCTGTATTATTGAAAGCTCTAAACGGTTCTCCATCAGTGCCTTAGGAAGACACTAAAATTAGGGGGAATATGAAAATGTGTAGTAAGGAAAACGAGTTCGCATTTCAATGAAACCAAGGAAGGGGAATAGTCAAAAAGCATAAACAGAAGGGAGCCACCGGGGAATGGTGGAGAGTCATTCCTGGTACCCTGAAAGTACTCAGACATTCAAAGATGTCTCTGCTCTTGGGTTCTTGGGTGGAAGGGGTAAGAAATTAGGCCAGTTATAGCCTGGGACTGAATACTACTTTATTTCCTTAGAAGATGACTAAAAAGAACTTGTGATGTACATTCAGTGACAAATGCTTTGTATGAATGACACATGGCAGCTGGGTGGCCATCTGTGCTTTAGAGGAGCTGCCTCTATTACTTCTGTGTAGCTGCATGGATACATGTACAGCATCACCGCGGAGACCCCAGTGTTCTCTTCATTTCTTGCACAAGAGACCTGAGCTTAGGCTGTACCTCACAATAAAGCTAATTATACCCACAGCACTCACTACATAAGGCTTAAAATAAAAGAGGCACAGTCACAAATGTGAGCAATAATTTTTCATCTAGTGGTTAATAACACTAGTCACTATAATAAGCTAGAAAAATCCCATATACGTTCCACTAGACTTTTCTTTTTTTATTTTAAAGAGAAAAGAACAAAAATCAAAATAACAAAAACAAAGACAAAAACAAAACAACAATAGAAATGATACAGAATTCCAAAAAAAGATGATAGGAAATTAGCAATGGTTGTTGTATTACACATCGTTATCTTAAAAGTAGTTGCTCAGATTACCAGTATAAGCATGCAAGAATGATCAAACAATCAAACATTAACCATTCCTTTCAATAAACCATTAGAAATTAGTGGTACAATTGTCTTAGCTATCTCAAGGCCTTAGGTTATAGCCCAGAGCAACATGTAAAGCAAATGACCCTTTAGGGTGGCAGTGTTCCACACACTAGCATTGGACTTTCAAAAGCTACCGCCATAGTATTGAGACACTTAAGATGAGGTACTGGGGGAAGGCTGGGGATTTAACTCAGCTGCCCAGCGCCTGCCTGGCAAGCACGAAGTCATGAGTTCGATTCCCGGTACTGGAAAAAAAAAAGATGAGGTACTGGTCCTTTCATCTGTGTGCAATTATTTAGTTCCCAAACAGTACCAATAACAAACTATACCAAAGTGTAGAGCCATCTACAACAGCAGATATTTTATCCTAAGGTAAGAATAAACAAAAACATCTGCAATGAATTCATGGATAAAGTTATATTTATTAATAAACTGTTTTGCTAATAAAACACCATCTGCAAGACACCCTCAGTTTCCATTCAATTTGAGTAAGTCTTGTCCTGTTTTCAGATGCAGTTCCCAGAAAAGTCTTCTAAACCCAACTGCAGAACACACAAGACCTCTTTTGGTTGCCTAGAATGTTAATACATTCAGTAGCATAAAGGTTTGAAGCAAATTATTTGTTAAATGACATACCTGAATTGAAAAGGTGACATTTTGCAACTAAGTTGGTTAGACTTCTACTCTCTTTACTATTGATGCAAAAATTCTAAGAAGCATGGAAATGTTTCACAGATAAGAAAAAAAAATTCCCCAGTAGGTAGACATTTCCCCAGAAGTACAGACATTTAAACAAACATGGGCACATAAACACACAAGTATGTCACATTCAGTAACAGTTTATCACAGCTCAATTCCCAAGTCTAATCCTATCTGCTTATCTACATATCTTAGCATGATGTCTGTTTTGTGGTCCTTAGCTCTCTTTGCTTCCTCCCATCCCAAATGCACATCACTAACAAAATATGTCAACCTCTTGTCACCAGAGTCAGGGGGAGAGTTGAGAAAGCTCAGAAAAATGTTGCAATTGGTGTATGGATAAACCCTTTTGAAACAACTTACAGTAATACTACCACTCTGTGAAGATGGCTACAATGACTAGGGATACAGAACCCAGTGCCTGGAACTGTTGGCGCCAGGAGTTGGGGCTGGATTCTAATGCTAAGTGCTTTTGAAAAGTGCATCAAGATTTAATAGGATGAATTTTCAGACTTGGTCAGAGTTTTAGCCACATAAATTCCATTAGGTTCAAAGCTCCGTAACACTTTACCCTGTCTATATTTATGGCTACATTTGAATCTACATTCTTCTGTGGGGCTCTCTAACTTCATATTTTCTTTCCTCCTATTTTTGGTTTTCACATTGCTCCTGAATTCTGTATATTCCTCTGAGTTTAGTGCCCTGAGCTTCTCTCTGCTCCTCTTTAAAATCTTTCCTTGAGACATGGATTTTCAAATAAATACTCCCTCCACGGATCACCTACCATAGCTTTCTTGCACCTGACCCATTTTTCATAGAAAGCTCTATCAAAGTCTATTTGCACCATCACTAGATGCTGCTCCTTGGACAACCATCTCCAGAGTTGATGGCACCTCAGACTCTGTTTGAAAGTGCACCTCTCATTGGTGTGCCAGTGTGCCGAGTGAAAGCATGAAGTCAGTTCTGAATCTGGGTCAGCCCATTTGTGAATGTATAAGAGAGAGGATCATAACAGAGTGGATCTCACTGGGTCTGCGACCTGTCACTGCACTAATGAGGTATGGAAACAGGCTAGCAGACTGCTGTATGGAGCAGCGCTATTTTCAGGTCAGTCCTGAGTGACAGCAGTGCTATGTAAGGAGGAAAAAGCAGACACCTGGGGAAAGCAAGGGACAAGCATGACACCCCAATCTCCCATTATAGTCCTCTTTCAAAGGAGATTTCTTTTGTTTTTTAAAACTGAAAAAGCGGTATGAAGGCATCCAGTAGAAATCAGGGCTAGGATTTCTCAATAACTAGACAGTAGAACACAGTAAGAAAAAAGCAGACAGACTACGATTAAAGAAATATAGCTCAGGTTGGATTCCGTATCAGTTTCCACCTTTGTTTATGTTGTTTGGTTAACATTATGGCTTTGAAAATGTAATCAAGTAACCATTTTTGAAATCCATTCATTCATTTATTGAGTATCTACTATGTGCCAGGCATTTGCTAGGTGCTTGAAATACAGACAGGATGAGATAGTCCTTGCCCTCAAGGAGCGCACAGTCTAGTAGATAAGACAGACACACAAAGGAGTACCTGCAATACAGCGAAAGGAGTGTCAGGCAGGGCGTGTGTAAGGAGGCACTAGAGGACCCCAGAGGAAGTGCTCTGTTATTAAGCTAGGAGGACCAGGGACAGTTTTACAGAGAAGATGACCACTGAGCAGACCTGGAGGAGAAATGGGAGTCCACCAGCAAGACAGAGGAGGGTGGGGAAAGATTCTGAGCTGAGGGGACAGCAGGCAGAAACGCAAAGAGGCATGACAGAATGTGACACGACAGGGAACCACAGGTGGGTCCATATGACTGAGATATCATCTGTGCACAAAGAAGTGGTGAAATATGAGGCTAGAGAGGGAGGATGGAACCAGAGAAAGAGCCTTGCATGTGGAAGTAAGACAGTTGGAATTTGTCCCAAAGTAATGAGAAGACACTGAAGAACTGGAAGTGGAGAGTGACACAGTAAGATCCACCTATGAGATTAGACTTGTGGAGGATGATCAGAAGAGAGGTGAGACCAGAATGAAGGCGACCAGTGGGGGAGGGCTATCAGTGGGTTTGAAGGCAGTGGGGGAGGAAAGATACTTAGGAGGAAGCTTGACAAGACTTGATGAATGATGACACAAAAAGCAAACTTGCCTCAGAAGTGAAACAATATTAAAAACATACGTCCCAAGAGTCCAACCAACAGTACCAGGCCTCCCTTCCTCTGCGTTCCCATTGTCCACTGCCATCATGGCATCTGCTGAGGAGGAACAGAAAGACGAGCGAGAGGGCTCATGGGGGCAGACTCCTCTACTTCACACACCACTACCTTGGAGTCTGTAACAATTCAGACAGGCTGCCTGTCACTCCTATGGAGTAAGAATTTGAACCTACTTTCTTCCTCTGTGTCTTTTCAAGCCTTTAGTCACCAGTAAGAGGAATCCAATCTAAAGGCAGTGGCTTCTTCCAATCAGGTGCTTGAGGTGCTGTAGGCAGCCGCTCATACGGTGGTGTCTGAGGGGCAGCCCCATACATGTCCCCCACCCAGGGGCCACAGGGTCTGGAATCCAATCATTAGCGATTCACTCCTTTGAGAGAGGCTTTGATCACTCTGGACTTCACTTTTACAAGGCAATAGTTCCTGAGATAGGTAGAATTTTTGATTATTCTAAGCTCAGTGGAATTCTCTTGCTCATAATACCTTGTGCTTTGACAGAAGGGATGGAGTTAGTGCGTATAAGAAGGCTATGTAGGCACTGTGGAAGAAGGAGACGTAGAAGAGGGACTGAGGGATACACAGGGTGACATTAAGAGCGTGCCTAGAAGCAGCCCTGTAAGCACAAAGGAAAGTAAACTTCTTAAAGAATCCCTTCCACTTCAGGTTCCATAAAAATCACACTTCTATGATCTTGTACCTTAAGGAACTTCTGGGTTTCATGTTTATAATGTGCTACTGGCTCGTGAAGACCGATGTTAAGTAACTCACCAATGCTTTGTGAACCTTATACTACTTATGACCAATTAAAACTTCCAGTGGTATTCATTTGTATGTAATACTATTTCAAATGTATTTTCTGAAATGATTTTTATACCTTCCAGGTTTCATTCACTCAGCCCAACACATCTTTTGTCATTCTGAATCACGGAGAGGGAACTGCACTTGCAGAGTGTTAATCAGTCATGTCACAAGTGACAGAAGATCAAGAATCAGACTTTGACCTTGAAGAGTCTCACATACAGCTCAATAAATAAATAAGAGCTGTCTGTGAACACTCGGTAATAGAGGTTAGAAAAGTGAACTAAACAATGAAACAAAACTTTAAATATTACTTACTTCACTTGTTTGGAGGATGGTGAACTTTGGCAGTTTAGTCTTTGAACTGGCTGCACTGGGCTTTCCATCCAGCAGTGATCCGAATGACAGATTCCCAAAGCTGTTCTCAAATTCAATGGAAGGTTTCAGTGTTGGAGAGATGTCTGGTGCCTGGTCTTGGCCATCCATGGGTCTGACATATGCCGTTGGCTTTTGTTGCCCCACGCTTGTTTTGCAGTAAAGCCCTGGAGGGAAGTTCTGAACCACAAGGCCACTGCTGGGAGCTAACAAAGAGGAAGCAACCAGGGGAGACCCAGGTGCTTGCACTGTAAATTCAGATTCTTCTGATGAGTTGGCCTGAAAGATTTCTTTGAAAGCATCTTCTCCACCAGCCTTGGGGTTGCTGTCTTCCTTTGAAGATGCGTTGGACTCTTCAACTGAGCTGATTTGGGGCTGTTCAGCTGGGTAGACAAAGAAGTCTTCCAGTCTAGTTTGAGGCTGCTCCTGTGTGGAAGTCTGCATCTTGTTTGGCTGACTGCTGGCCTGGCTTGCCGGTACAGTGCTAGAGTTATGACTATCTCGTGGCCACTCAGGCTTTGACTTTCTGTTGCTGTGTATGAGTGTGGAATTCAGTATCACGACAGACGGTGGAGGCATTGGGGCCGAGGGGTGAGTATTATCCTGGTGAGGTGGGATCATCCGGTTCTTCTGTTCTGGAAAAAAGCTTGGTTCGTTTTTGTTGATGGGAGTCTGGGGCACAGAATTCTTTGGGATTCCCACTAGATGATTCTGATTAGAATGGTTAGTTAGCAAATCCTTCATTTCATCATAGTTTCCAAGCGTGTTCTGGACTCGGTTGGCAAGGGCATCACCTTTGTTTGTCTAAAATAACAAAAAGATGGGGGTGGGAGGAGAGAGAATGAATAGGTTTGTGTTTCCTAATGTTAATGTTTCAAACAGATGCCTTAAGTAGACTAGCAGATAGGGTTCTTTAAAATTGTCATGCTGCCAAATAATTTCATACTTTTCATGTGCTATGTAAGAGAAATATCAATAATGCCACTGAAAGACCTTCTTGGAATGAGTGTGTATGACTAATAGTTGGTGTGCTTCCCAGTCTGCTCTTAAACATACTCAACAGGAAAGAGTTTTTAAATTACATAATTTATTAATTTTATCAGAAAAAATTATTTTAGGCCAGATGAGCTGAATTTTTACATTATACATTATGTAAATCTACATTATGATTAACAACTTCCATTTACTGGTCACTGGAATTATAATGGACTGTTCCACTTACATATATTTTTGACACATCAGCCTTTGTATTGCACTATACCATGGAAAAGGCTTAGCCTATTGGGTAAGAAATTCAGGTATACTGTGGTATTCTGTTATGTGAAGTTTAGCAAAGTATGGGATTAAACAACATTTAAATCAGATAACTTATGACTAAAATGTATCTAAATCCTTTTAATCAAAGAAATGTATAAATTGCTGGTGTCTGCCTATATAGTATAGGGGCAACTGTGTTTACATGTTGATGACTCATACTCATTTACTTTGAAATGATGCAATTGTTGATCAACCGTGACTCGAGCTCTCCTGTGCCTTTGCAGTGATTTAGAAAAATTTATTCCAAACTTCAGTTGTTGAAGTCAATCAAAACAAAGTCATCTTTTCAAAGTAATGTAAGCCAAATGCATAGGAATTAGAGAGGCAATGAAATCAATCTACGGACAATCGAAAGACCAGCTCACCATCTCCTATAGGCTACACTAATCCCATCAAAAACGGCTGTGATTGTTTTTAAAATAATTAAGCTGCTAAGTAGGCTTTCGCGGTAAAGAAAGCAAAGCTTTCATGACTAAAAAATAGTGGGAAGCTGTATACTTGGAAATGACTTTGAAAGAAAACTCAACTAGTTCATCCTTGAAAACTACTTTTATTATTTTCTTTACCTGCCACAGAGGTTGTCAAAACAAGCTACTGAATTCGAAGGGCAAAGGACTTCTTTGTGCCAAGGCTGCACTATCCTGGCCCAAAATATTGCAACCAAAGAAGGCTACCATTGCTCATGACACCGACTAGCAACTGGGCCATTAGCTAGAGAGGGCAGCACCATAGGTGTCCCTCAGATCCCAGAAGCCACAGGCATGCTCCCCATGCGGAGGAGAGGGTGACCACCTCCCTGGTGGTAGATTTGCCACTACAGAAAGATGTTAACATCTAAAGTATGTCATATGCCCCCAAAAGTGCCCAGTTTCCTGGTGTCCTCAGGGACTACATCTACCCAAGCGGGGGATCTCAGCCTAACCCTACATTGTATGACTGCGTGTTGTTCTCTGTATGTGAACATGGAAGAATATGCAGATGGATGGAGAGTGAAGTGCTAGAAATGGATGAAATCACTCAGGAACAGAAAATGTAGAACGAGAAGCTCAATCGGGCTCAGGCGCCAATCCTGGGAAACATCAACCTTGAAGAGACTGGAGGAAGAAGAGGACCCAGCAAAGGATACCAAGAAGGAACAATCACAGAAAGAAGCAAACTTGAAACCTTGGCCTCATTATTAGCGCCATGTACAAGTGCTATAGGAAGTATTTCACCACCCCGCATGTTAAATCATATAAGACACTTCCAAAGAAATGAGGGCAATTAGAGAAATATGAATTTCAAAGATTAAGGAAAAGTATGCTAAATATATGCTAAGGGAGTTCTGTGGGAAATAAGGATCTTTAGAAATCCAATAAATATATGTTGATCTTAGTTTTATGCTTAAGAACATCTTGGATTGCATCATATGCAACCTTGGTGCTGAAGTAGTGATTAAACAATTAAGATTCTATTTAATCCTCCACTGAATAATCTCTCCATTTTCAAAAGTACATTTGATAGGCATATTTAAAAGATATAGATCTGTAGAAATCACTTTATTCCCTAAAATTTCCCAGGATTGTCATTTTTGAATGGCAGACAGTACTTTTCAGCAAAGGCAAGAATAAATTCTTTGCATGTAGCAGTCTCCTTCAACTGAGTTGCACAATGAACTATTTGGGCGGCAGCCAAAGCCAGTCTCTCTCTATTCCATCCCTAAATATAAAACAAAGAAATGTTATCGTGCTAAGGGCCAAGAAGAACTCAACGCAAGCTTTAAACATTTGCAAGGTTTTTCTGGCCCCTCAAACAGATTGTCTCTTGGGCCAGATGACTGCATGGCTAACGGACACTGATACTTGGCTGTATTCAAGGATCTGACATTACCAGGGAAAACAACACTACAGACTCACAACCTTGTCCCTACGTGTTACAGAGACCATCAAAAACTGCGTGGCCCAGAGAAGTCTGCCCATCTCTCTGGGCTAACAGCATCAGGATCTAATAACGTCACTTTTTATATGCATGCGAGAAGGCTAGTCACATACCTACTCTTGTTTCAGTAGTAAACAGAAGAGACATGTACAACTTGTGCTAGGTGGGAAGAAATGTGTCTAGTTTTTATGTCTCTTAACTTGTGTTTATTGTTATAATTATCTGGGTTTCTGAGGCAGGCTTACACATTTTTCTCACATGTAGATTTCAAAATACAATTGAAATTAGCAGAAATTCTGAACTGGTCAATATTTAAAACTGTATAAATGCGTAAAATTAAGGGAAAATTATAGTTTGACTATGTCTAGAAAATCAACCTCTTCCTATCTACACATTAACTATTCATATTAATTAAATATATACATACACATATATATGCTAAGATTTCCTTCACAGAATAAAACTGTAACTTTTAAAGGTCAGAGATCACTTTTTACTTATTTTCACCCAAGACTTAGCACCATGCCTAATGCATATAAAGTAAATAGTCACAATATCACAGAAACAAACTACAATTCATATCCTGCCTGTGTCCAAATAAATAATCTGCAAAGGCCCAGAGAAAAACGTACATAGGCTGGTTTGGTTACTACAATTAGAGAACACATTGAAATTTGAGCTTCCTGGTAGCTAAAGCCAAAAGGAAAGCTCCTAGGTGAAAGACTTCGCTTTACCTGACAATAAAAACGTGTGGTGATTTGTTAAAGAAGACAAATGGCTAGTTCATACTACAGCGTGAAAAAGAATTTCTCTATTGGCTCATTTATAAAAACCTCTGAGCAACAAAACAAATCATGTTTTCAGCACCAATTTTCCAGAAAATGCAAAGATGTTCCTTGTTTGACTTTTTCTCATGACTGGAAACCAAGAGTATCACACTGAAGTGTGATTCAGAGAAGGCAGCTCTGCATGTGCAGGTAGGATCTCTAGACTAACAGGACCCGGGGGTGTGGCTTCCTTCAGGACTGTGACATAGGAGTGGGGCTAGGTTAGCCTGTAGAAATGGAAGCCTGGCATCTCCCTTAGTCACAGCAGACAATTCAAAGTTGAGTTCACTGGTGACAGTTTGATTTACTGATTGAACAAAGATCCAAATGTTTTCCATAGCAGATGTGCAGTGGTTACAGGCGGGAATTACTATGGTCATTCTCATGACATATTTGTAAATTCAGAACACACAAGAGGAAAGATCAGGCACAGACGACATACAGACACAGAGCTTCAAGTCTACCAGTCAGTGATCACCAAATAATGTCCAGTCCAGTCTGCCAGAGTCAACTGTCTCTCCATGACTGCAGATGGGCAACTGTCAACCATTTCTTAAAATTCTGAATATATAGATATGAGGTCCACTAGATAGAAAACCCAATGGGTCTTGAGGTACATTGATATATACCTACAAGATGTGCTGTCACTATACACCATAGTTCTTATTCACACTAAATGTTTCTTTTTACCTTCTCAGGTCTTGGTAATGCGATTAAGGAGCAGAATGTTCTTAGCAGTCTTGATCGAACTCTATAAACATGGCAAAGATGAAGTTTAGCCACTTCAATCAATTATAGGCTTCTTTCAATTTGGCCAATTCTTTACTTCCCGTTCTAGATAATTGGTTGATTCCTTAAAAGTAACCTCTGCAGCCATTATTTTGTAAGTAATCACAATTTCTCCATCATCAAGGAAATGTATTTTCCAACTTTTTTCAGGCATAAATTACATGTCTGGTTTGTGGCTCATGACTAACAGCACTCCTTCATTGAAGCTTTTTGCCTCTCATTACTTTAGGAAATGCAAACTTCCCTCGGTTTGCTTCTAATGCTATCTACAAATAAGTAGTGCAATTTCACTGCCAGACTAATGTGCCAGGAGGTTAGTGTACCATGGTAGTTATTATTAATAAAAGAAGCAAAATAATTGAAGCTTTAAGGTTCATTTTTTTTTCTTTCTTATTGCTACTAAAGTGTGTGATTTAGTAATTCTTTTAGTCCAATCTTAATATTTTCATAGATAATCTAAGCTGGATGTTGTTATTTCTTTCTTTATTCTAATTATACAAGTAACAATGCCTTGGATTTTGTACAACATTTTAGAGAGTTCAGAGCAAGATTTTCCAGATTGTTTCATTTGATCCTTTAACAACCATATGAGTCAACACAGTAGCTCTGGTTCCATCTGGACATTATCTGTCCTAGCACAAATGGCATTGGGCATGCCGCTGATACCTCTCCGCACATCAGTTTCTGCATTCTCACGGAACTGTGACAAGCTGCAAAATGTTAGCTATTGCTATTCCTATGATTCATCTCCAAAAGGAGGAAACTATGGGCCAGAGAAACTAAGTTTCTTCCCCACAGTCACATAACAGATAAGTTTATCAAGACTTTTGACTTCCTGTCAGATATTGTTCTGTTACACATACAGAATCACAAAGAACTGGGTGCAAAGTCTAAATATACAATGTACAAAGATATAATGATGTAGAGGTACCATCTTAGTTCTCTGAATTAAAATTCCTCAAGAGAAGCATGAGGAAAATATGCATTTCACTTGTTATAAGAAGCAAGAAAGCACAGCCATAGTGCCCTAGCCCAGTGCCTTGCACACAGTGGGTACAGGCCAGAGTCTCACAAACCTTCCCATGCTCACCTAGACAGGTCACATGGTTACATCTTCCTTAGGCACTTTTGAAGACATCTTTCTCAATAGCATAGCACAAACTCCAATGTGAAAGTTATAAGCTGGGAAAACAGCCCCAGAGAAAGAAGTTTCCCACTAACAAATAAATCTGGGAGAGGTCAACATTGTTTTCATTCCAAGTGTAGTAGTGGTGAAGCAAAGAACAGGAAAAAAACAGGAAGGAAAATGAGAGAGCCCCATTTCTTCTTTCAGCCAGGGAAGTGCAGTCTTAAGGTCTGGAGTTCACACCAGTTAGTTAGGAAGTGCTGATGCTATCAGTTAAGTGATCAGATAATGTTTTAGGCTCTAGGGTAGCAAGAAATTTCCTGAAAGCCCACGTTCACCACCATGAAGTTTGATCCTCAGTTTCATAAGAATTCCCACTATAATCCTATGGAATAGTTGCTTTATGTCATCGTATCAACCATTGGGTTGTGAGTTAGCCCTAGATTTCCCACTGCCACTGGCAGCCACACATCCCAAGATCGTCTGCCTCAGTTTTAGTCTGAGAAGATTTTGGAGGTCCACATCAATTCTAAGGGTCATAAAATGATGGAAGGAAAAGGAATATTCCTCAGTGATTTTCCAGGGAATCTTGAACACAGACACAAGATGTCAGCCAATCATCAAAGAAAGGATGAAAGAAAAAGAGCTACGGGTTTACCAACTGTTAGCATGATTCTTTCCTTCATAGTTCTGACTCAAGAACAAATGTCCTTCCCCGTAAAGGGGCACAAAGGCCTTAAGCTACTACTCATATACTAGGTCTCGCCCTGCACAAAACTAAATGGTCCCATCTGTGTCTGTACCTGATGTATCCTTGTAGTACTGAGACAGATGGCTTTCAAAAATTTCTAACAATGTTAAGAATAGCTTCCTTTTGAATTGTTTTCTTTAAAAAAAGCTAACACCTAAAAATAGATATGGATCCAAATAATAGACCTTGTTATGAGATGATAATTATCTTAAAGGTACAAGACCATTAATTCACTGATTAAAAGTTATGAGAGGAGAATAAAACAAGGGTTCTTCACCTCATAATTGTGTTGAGGACAGGGTGGATGCACTTGTTGAAGAACACAATCTTTGAGTAGAGCTCATATTACTAACACATTTAAAGACAAGAAGTACAATGTATGTGGTTGTTCCGCCTTCACTTCAAGAAGGGACATAATACCTATCATCTTTTGAACTCTCCACCAAAAACAGAGGCCATGACTTCCTGCTCTGTTATCAATCTTCCTTCCATTCTCTCACCTTGTTCTCATTCCAGTGTTCTGTGCCTATTGTACTCCCTCTAACTCATGATTCCTTACCTGCTCTCCATCTTGTATTTTTAAACATTTCCTCTGGGACCTTGTTTCACTGAGTTTCACCTCTCTCCCCTGTATCTTCCACCTTCACCTTCTCCATTGATCTTGGTTTCTTCCCACTCATCTCTAAACATGCTCATGCTTCTCTCACTTAAAAAAAGCTTCCCCCTATATAATTACTCACATAAACTTCAGCCTCCCTTCCCTTCCCTTCCCTTCCCTTGCCTTCCCTTTGCTTCCCTTCGCTTCCCTTCTTTCTTTCCTTCCTCCATGCAAAACCTCACTACAAGATCAGCTGCTCTCTTTCTTAAGCATTTCCAGTTTCCTCTCTAAACTCGGGTAGTTGATTTCCCACAATGACCATGACCATCAACAAAAACAATGCTTCCTAAGATCACCCATCACCCCTTAACTGCCAAATCCAACAGCCACTACAGCCTTTTCCTTTCCTGACATCTCTGAGGTACATGACCAGCAAATTGTTTCTCTATCAAATCATCTGATCCCTTGCTTTCCATTAAATGTTTCTTTCCTACTCCTTTTCCTACCTGTCTGACGATTTCTTCTTAGTTTACCTTCCTGGTCTCTGCTCTCACTACCACTTTTACACCCTAAATTCAGCTGCTTCCTAGACTTCTCAGTCCTTCTTATTACTCCGCATTCTAAATCAGGGATAGTATATTCCACTGCCACCTACATGACCATAACAGCTAAATCTCTCTGTTGACTATTCTGATGAGCTCCAGACTCACATATCTGATACCTACTGGATGTCTTACCCTTGATATCCCACTGGCACCTCCAAGCTGTACTAATTATTCTTTCCATCTGCAGCGATCCTGTTGTCTTGAGCAACTTGCTAATGATTCCCCCCACCTCTCAAGTCACAAACTACCCCGTACTCCCACATTCAATTTGACATACAATCCCAACATTTCAACTTCAGTACTCTACCTCAAATCCTTCCTGCTGTAAGCTTCCCTTAATCTTCCTCAGTTTCTCGTCCCTCCCACCTACTCTCCACAGTGCCCAACACCACTTTCTAAACCTTCTGTCCTGTCAGGGTTATGCCCTACTGTAAAAACTTGTAATGACTTTTCTTCATGACAGAATCATGCTGAAAATCCTTGGAATGAGGTACACAGTATGGTCTGTCTCCTGCCTGTATCTCACCGTCCCCATGCAGTGATGTCATCGCTGTTCATGATGATCTCTGCCATTGGACTAACACTTCCTTGGAGGCAGGGACTGTGTTTTACTCCCCTGTATACACTTGTCTAAGAGAGTGACTAGCACATAATAGGCTTTCAACAATGTTGGTTAAATTAATCATACATTTAAATGCACACATTCAAAGGCAATACATAAATTGAATTAATCAAGATAAGAAAAATACTTTATGAATTACATAAAGAAAAATACTTTATGAATTATATAGTTAATTATACAGTTAGTTTAGAAATCAGTAGCTTAGGTGACTTGAATCTGTCAGGATTAGCAAACATGAAAAGTACACAGATGAGTCAGTCGAGCACTCCTTACTTGTTTAGAACAAGGCAACAAAACTCTGGTGTCATTAGCCACCAAGACAAACAGCATAATCTTTATGCAAAATAGTACAGTGTCTGTACCTACTCTGTCCTTATTAAGAACGTTCCCTTTCTAGAAGTAACTGTCCTTTAAACAATGTTTTTCTAAAATCACAACTACTGGAAATTTTCACTATTATTTTATTTCTTACATCCTTTTGATTTCATTACAGAAAATCACACTGCTACTAACTTTAAAAAAACAGCTGCCAGTAATTGAATGATTCTTCCATCATAAGCTCTTCCAAATCACCCCTAACTCCACCACATGTAGAAAGTTCAGAGGCATTAATTGTAAAATCAACACTTGTAGATACGGCAGTTTGATTGTTATTGGAGCTACACACTAGCTAGGGTACCACTAGAAAATCAGCCTAAGAATACTACTTCTTCTGGTTGAGGCAATCTTTTACCCCATGATTATTACCACTAGGAAAAATGATTGCTTTTTTCTTTATCGTAGGACTGTGATTTCCAAAGAGCACTCAACCCACTGAACAGCTGCTAACAACCCCAGATGGGAAAAAAAATGCGATGGCCTCGCAATGGGTAGCGCTGATTGAGAAGAGAAATAGACATATATCCTTTGACATTCTGCTAGGGTTTTCAGGGGCTCCCTAGCTGATCAGAGAAGCCCTGGAGGGCACAGGGAGGGGGAGGGGCATTCTTTGCTGGAACAAGTTTTAGGCAAAAAGGGGCTCCTTGGAAATAGAAGGTCTCACAAGCCTCTTTCCAATCTTACTGTGCTTCCCAAAGAAGATGGATTTTGTCCCCAAAGACTTCCTCAGAAACCTGAAATTGCTCCAAATACACCTTATGTACATCTTTCCTTTCTAAGATATATTCTCCTGGAATTGATTTAGGTGTTTTAAAAATAAGTTAAATGTGGATTCGTGAGTTCAAAAACAAAACACGCAATAAGTTTCCAGAAAGATAAGTTACATACATATTCAGCTACCTTGTAGGGCTCCCCAAAAAGATCAAAGCCTGAAGAAAAGAGGTCATCTTCCTGCTGAACTTCTTGATTCCTCCGCTCCCACTCCCTTTTTTTAAGCGTGCTACGGTCTTGTTCATAGTGACTGACATGAAAAGGAAAAGACAAAAAGAGAAAAAGGTTGATTAGTCATGTGAATGATCCACATCGCCCTTGTCATCAATAAGAAAAGAAAAATGTAAGTCAACACTGCTCAGGTTGATGCAGAGAGAGGAGAGAGGTTTCTTTTTATGATCCTGAATGGTTCTTAAAGAAAAAGAAGAAAAACCATAAACTTGCTTACGGGAAATTGTACTCATGACCACACAGGTAAGGCAGAACTCTCTTCCCTTATCCTTATTTCATTACCACAAGCAATTGCATACTCCCTAAAAGTCACTCCACTTTGTGGGAAACTACTAAATCACAGTCACACTGTGCTACCAACTGCCTCAGGCTCATAATCCACCGATGACACAAAGACACAAGTGAAAGGAGTTATCAAAGTATGGTGCTCCAGATCAACTACTGTCACAAACCCACAGCTACAGTTAGCCTGTTTTAGTGGAGACACAGAGGGGTCTAAAGCTGTTAAACTCTCTTTTGTGGATGTACATACACAAAAATAAATAACCTAAATACGCACATTCTTTTGTGTTTGGTTGCTTTTGTCTGGTCATTCTATAGTTTATTTCACAAGTGGCTAGATGCCGGGTGGATAGCAGCATCCTAAAAAAGGGTCTAGCTTAAACAGTAAAGTATTAGCCAGCAATGAAAGAAAGCCTGTGTCAAAATGCTTGACTGACCTTAAAGCACAAAGGTTTGAGAAACACGAACTCTGTGACTCATCACATTTCTAGCTTTCCCATGGAAGTATCAGGAGCATCTAGAGAACATTTTAGACATATTCTCTGAACACAGGAATGATAGAAGGAAATGTTATTTTAAAAATAACCTATTGCCTTCATCACACAAGACTGCAAATGAAACCATAATCTGAAAGTCTTCCAGTGTAGGTTGAACATCCCTAACCCAAAAATACCTGAAGTTCAAAATGCTGCCTAATCCAAAACATTTCAAGTGTTGAAATACTGCAAGTAGAAATTGATGATATGTATTGTAACAACTACTGGTAATTTCCTATCACCTTGTTTGAAAATTCTGTATTGTTTTTATTGTTTTTCATTGTTTTGTTTTCGCCTTTGTGGGTTTTTTCTCTCTTCTTTTTAAAATAAAATTAAAAAAAGAAAACTTCACACCTGACTTCATGTGACAGGTCGCAGTCAGACTATAGGTACACTAAAAATATTGTATGAAGGGATATTTAACATGTAGTGTATTTTGTTTTGTTCACTGTTTTTGTTTGCCTGCCTTTGATGTAAACTTTATCCATAGGGACTATATATATGCTGGGCAAATGTGAATTATATCAGTGTATGAAAAACACTTAGCAGGTGCTACGCAAATGTTGGTTTCCTATTTCATATTAATACTTAATTAGATTATTGACATGTAGATGAACATAATAGCTACAGGAATAATAAGAGATATAGTGATATAAAAGTACAACCAACAGGTTTTGAATATATCTCAAACCTTAATGCCTATCTTGGTAAGCTAGTTTGCTTCTGAGTATCATAACATTAAAATACAAAATAAGAGCCTACAGTATGCATT